TCCATCTCCCTTCTGCAGAACAGCTGGTGGTTTTGAACCACTGACCTTCTGGTTAGTAGACATTTGGCTGACATTTATTGACTACACCACCAGAGCTATATATATATATTCTTTACTAGAATGTCTTCCTTGAGCATTGTGCTCTTTTAAGATCTCTATATAGTGGTGTGGGATCTCTGGTGGCATAGTGCCTAAGGTATTTGACTGCTAACCAGAAGGCTGGTAGTTCAAACCCACCAGCCTCTCCTCAGAAGGAAGTTTGGGCAATCTACTTCCGTAGTCATACCACCCAAGGTGGGGTCACTATGAGTCTAATCAACTCAACAGCAGCGGGTTTGGTCTTTTTTTTTTCTCCCATGGGATCAAATTGACAACAGTAACTCAAAAGATTAGATAGAAAACTTAGGGGACAGTGAGTTTATGTTAAGGAAGAAGGAACAACTCTGGAAAGGAAGGCTAGAATAGTTGCACATCTCAAAGTATGTAATCAGTAATGCTGAATTTTACATGTAGAAATTGTTGATTTGGTGTACGTACTGCTGTGTAGATTCTCAACAACAACAAAAATAAAATAAACTATATAAACATAGAGTTTTAATCAAAAAGAGGGCAAAGTATCCTATAAACCTGGATAAAGCATTTACACGAAGGGGCTTACATTTAGAACCACCCCTGGGTTGATTGGGAGGCCCTGGAGGAACAGAGCTGACAAGAAACCCTGGACCAGGAAGCTCTGGGGAAAGGAGGACTCAAAATATACTTAAGGATTTCCAGTCAAGGAAACTGAATTAGCAAGGGCAGTCAGCCCACGTAGGGAGAGGCAAGGAGAAGCAGGTCTGGCTTGTGAGGAAGAGGGGAATAGCACTGGAGTTTATGTGCTTACCCCAGAACCCAGCCTCTTCCTACCCCACCCTCATCCAGAGGCCCTTGGTTTAATTAAAAGGGTGGGAGCTGGAAAATTCTGTGGCAGGAAACAGAAGGAGAGAAGTCCTCTAACTCTGCCTGCATCTATCAGACAGACCTCAGAGCCCACTTGGAGCAAACGTTCTTGAAGACCTAAGAATCATGATGAGTGTCTGTGAATACCAGGAATGGCCACCCCCTCTCCTCCTCTGTTCCTCTGTCCTGTTAGGGTGACCCTGATTTCCAAACCAAAAATAGAAACCTATCATTTGACAAGTGTACTTTGGAGGAGATAAAGGGACAGAATTCCTTGAAGTTGAAAATCTAGGATGTGTGGTCTTTGTATCTATTCTTCATTCATTCATCCAACAAACAGTCAGTAAGGGTCCACTATGGAATTGTGACATGGGGTATAACCAGAGTGAACAAGGCAGACACTCCCTTGTTTCAGAGCAAGCATCTGGGTTGCTTGATGTTTCCCCTAACCTAGAGACAGGATTGACTAGTTCAGGTAGGTAAAGGGTGGTTGGTGGGTCAGTCAGGGCTGTGATCTAGCATTTATTTCACCTTTCAAACAGTAAATACCTGCTAAGCACCAAGTACAAAAGTCCCCCTGGATCTGTGATCTTCTCTGTGGAATAAAAAAAGCAGTACTGGGATGTTTTGATATCTCCTTCAGCTCAAGGAAGTAGATTGCCCAACTTGCCTTCTGAGGAGTGGCTGGTGGGTT